AGCTGGGGGATTCAAACCACTGGCCTTTTGGTTAGCAGTCTAATGCCTTAACCACTACACCACCAGAGCTCCCACATACACTGCTACTTCTTTTGATCTTAGGGAGTCTCTACTGACCCCCTGTGGAGGCCCTGGTTCTTTATGTCACCGCTGTCTGTCTCTGTCTTCACATCTTCTCCCATCTTCCCAACATAATTGTATCAGAATTCCACTTAGCTCAATAGATAATGGATACCATATTGTAACAAAGTCAATAGTATTGAAAGTTGAACCAGGTAGTATGTCAAGATGGCTTTGCTCTCTTTAGACTTTCTCTTCTCCTGGAAGTTGATAATTCAGTTTTTGTTGGCTAATTTTCTATTCCCTATCAGAGATGTGGGAGCTCTGGTGGCGTAGTGCTTAAGGCATTTGACCACTAACTAGAAGGCTGGCGGTTCAAACTCACCAGCCACTCCTTGGAAGGAAGATTGGGCAATCTACTTCCATAGAGATACCGCCTCAGAAACCCAAAGAGGGGTCACTATGAGTTGGAATCAACTCGATGGCAATGAGTATATGAGTATAGTATCCGAGATGTAAGGAGCTCTTGTGGCCTAGTGGATAAGGCACTTGGCTGCTAACTGGAAGATCAGTGGTTCAAACCCACCAGCTGCTCCATGGAAGGAAGATGGGGTGATCTACTTCCATAAAGATTTACAGCCTCAGAAACCCAGTGGGGGTCACTATGAGTCAGAATTGACTTGATGCAGTGATTTTGGTTTGGTTTGATCAGAGACGTGAATCACTGTGTACATTGCCAACGTAGCCCCAGATCCTCTCAAAGAACTTGAACTCTGCCTTCATGACGTTCACACACATCAGGTCATCGCTCCTCTTTAAAGCCCACAGTGGAGTCCTCACGCCCCTTTAGAGAAGAAGACCCAGGGCTCCTACCCCATCCGAGAAGCCCCTCTCAGGACCGGGCCGTGGGAGCCCAGCCTCACGCACGAGGTGAATCCTGAATTCTGGGTGCAGAGCAATCGGCAGTAGCAGGATTGGCCAGAGTCAAATGGCAGGTGAACTTGGCACTGACCACCTGAAGTGGGGGCCAGAGCCGGAAGTGAGAGGGTCACAAGGACAAAGGCACAGGCCAGTGGCAAGAGCAGAGCCTTGGAGCCTGAGGTCCTTGGAGCTGAGCCAATGCAAACCCTCTTTACAGATGGGGAAACTGAGGTGCAGAGAGGGAGTGGGCCTCACCCAAGTCACACAGTGAGTTAGTGGCAGACTAGACCCAGGTCTCTAATAGTTATCTTTCTTTCACCATGCAGCACCCTCCCACACACACACACATACACACACAATGTCTTACCTACACATCCAGACATCCACAGTTCCCATGTTTGGATGCAGGCAAATATTTCCTGACACCGGTCTCTGTATCTGTGTCCTAGAGCCAAGGACATGCCCTGTGTGTGCTGTGGAAGGATGCTGGGAATGCGAGGGAACCCTGAGAACCATAGAAAGTTAGCACCCTCAGACCCCTTGTTCAGAGAGGGACATAGAGGCCCAAGCGGGGCTGAGCAGGGCAGGGCAGGGCCCCAGCTGGTCACAGGGCCCGGCCATGGCACAACCCGCCCCATCAGCACCATTTCTACATTTCCACAGCTCTGATGAATAATTAAAGCAAGTTAAACAAACACTGTTTAATTGCCTGCGGATGACAGGGCACCCAGGGAGCCATAAACCCCACCCCGTTCGGGGCGTTTGCCCAGGCAGGTGGCACGGGGAGCTTGAGTTGGCTGCCTCCCCTTTGCCTGCTGGCTGGGCCTCTCGGGCCTTTTCGTAGCTGGGGACCTGGACGCCTCGTGCCTGCTAACAGCCAAGCCTGCTGCCCAGTGCCAGAGCAAACGGGGCCCGGCCAACACACTTTCCAGAAATAGGTTCCTTCATGGCCAAGGCGTGTCCCTCCCTTCCGAACTTCCCCCCTGCAGAGAGCCCCATTTGTTGCCTCAGAACTAGAAACACTGTGTCCTAGCCTCCAAGCACCTCAAGAATGTGCGGTTTTCACAGTTCTCTGGGTGGGTGTGCTGTTGTTCTCTGCAGCTGCCTTTTACAGCTCACCCACCTCCATCGCACCCCACCTCCACCTTCCCATACTCAGGAGTGTGGAGGAGGCACTGAGGCGGGAGCAGGAGAGGTCCTCCAAGTCAGTTCTGCCCCAGAGTCTGCCCTTTGGCCCCACAGCACGCGGCTGCTCGGGGTGCATGACCTTTTCTCCAACTAGATGTGAAGGGCGCCTGATAGGTGGACACCTCATCGGTCTTAGCCCAGGGCCACCAAGGGCCTCATGAACACGCCTCTGAGTGGAGGAGGGGATGGTCAGAAGGGTGGGTGGGTACATGAGTGCCATGTAGGGTGGGTGGGTAAGGAGTAGGTTAGGTGGACAGGTGAGGGCAAAGTGGATAGATGGGTCGGTGGATGGGTGATTGGGTGGGTGGGTAGATGAGTGAGTGGGGGGATGGGTAGAAAGTAGGGTGAGTGGATAGGTGGGAGATGTTCCTGGGTGAGTCAATTCCGACCCATAGGGACCCTGTAGGACAGAGTGGAACTGTCCCATAGGGCATCCTAGGCTATAATCTTTATAGAAGCAGGTCACTAGATCTTTCTCCCAAGGAACGGCTGCTGGGTTCGAACTGTCGACCTGTCAATTAGCAGCTGAGTGCTTAATCACAATGCCACCAGTGCTGCTTGGGTGGGAGTGGGGTGGACAAATGGGATTCTGTTTGTTTTGTTCTCTTTCTCCTGCAAGTCTTTCTTTTAGCAGCCCAGGAGTCCATGGCTATCTGTTTAAGTTTTAGAGGGAGACGCTAGGGTCTCTTCACTGGGCCTTGTTGGCTGGGGGCTTCCTAGAAGACTGGTCTCATGGGGACTCAGCTTTTCATTGGAGGCCTCCCCAGGTGTCCATGCGTGTGAGCCTTTCCTCTTGGGCCAGTCCCAAGGGGGACTGTATCCCTCTCCCATCTGGGGTTCTTCCCAGCCTTTAGAAGAGCAGGGGTCTCCAGTCCCCCAACCCTCCTCTGATGTACTTAGCTGCACCTTCTTGCCTAGCTAGGCATCTTGTGTTCCATCTTGCAGAATGTTGTTGGCCTCGCTCTTCTGCTAAGGGGTAGCCTCTGCCCACCTCTCTGCCTTGTAGTCTTACACCTTTTTATTTCTTTACCATCACTTTCCCAGGAGGCAGTAGAGCAAACATGTGTGTTCAGTCCACTGTGTTTAACCCAAAACCATCCCCATCACAGAGTCAGGAAAAATGTATACATTCTTGTAGCTGTGTTAATGTTCCAATGTTTATACCTCAGTCTTTAATCTCCTTTATGCGTTGGGGTTACCGACAAGGTTTTATTGAGGGAGAGAGAGAGAGAGTTCTGTACCTAAAAAATGCTTGTAAACCACCAACTTGGCCCAGCCAAGGGGAGAGAGGGTGGGAGCTGAGGGTGAGCGGGGCTCCCGTCAGCCCATGTGGCGCCTTCTGCAAACCAGGTATGGCTGGGTGAGCAAGCAGAGGGCCAGATTTCAGCAGGGCTGGGCACCCTCGGGGGTTACAGAGCCTGGACTACATATTCCCATGATCCTAAGACCCCTTGTAGTGTGCCCACCACTCTCAATGGAGGAATTGATATTTCAGAACAAGAAAACTGGCAAAATGATTTGTGCTCAGGCTTAAAATGTGTGACAAAGATGAGGGTTATCCAGGGACAGGTGGGGGCTGATGGTGTGGGGGCCTGTGGACCTGTGGCACGGGGAACACACAGGGTTCACCCCACCAAGAGGCCCCCAACGGTCAGCCCCAGGGTGCCAAGTGGAACCTGTTGAGTTACCCAGAGTCCTCCTGGTCTGTATGTCCATTTAGCCAGATGAGGTTGCTGTGGGGTCAGGATTGGAACTGAGCTAGGGGAGGGAACAATGTAGGCCGTTGCTGACTTCTAGAGCAATCAAAGCTCGTCAGAGCAGCTTTGAACCATCGTTTCCTCATTAAAGAGCTGCGGTCTCTGGGAGAGACAGACATAAACAGACACTTATGATACAGGCAGATGCCTGCAGGGGGTGGAGTCCATCCATCCTGCTCTCCAAATTGGCCTTCCTGCCTCCGGTCCCCCTACTCCCACCCCCCAGACACTCAGCTTCCAGAGAGAGGTTTTAAAAAGGCAGAATTGACCTTGACGTTTCACCCATGTAAACCCTGCAACAGCTGCCCACCAGCCCCAGGACACTGCCCAAGTCCCCACCCCAGGTCTCCAGTGCTGGGCCTGCCCAAGTCCCCACCCCAGGTCTCCAGTGCTGGGCCTGCCCAAGTCCCCACCCCAGGTCTCCAGTGCTGGGCCTGCTTGCTTCTGCAGCCCCAGCCACCGCCCCTGTCCCCCTGTGTCCTGCCTCTGCAGGGTTATTCGTAAGCCCAGCCCTGTTCTCTCCCCTCTGGCAACAGCACTTGCTGTTTCCTCGGCCTGAACGTGGCCTCCCCGACTTCCTCACCTGGCCAACCACTGTTCGTCCCTCGGGTCTCTCCTCAGTTCCACTGCACCGGCGTGCCCCCTGACTGCACCCACCCGGCCGGCCCGTTCTGTACGGGCAGCCCTGGGGTAGGCTCCCTCAGCTGTATGTATTTGCCAGTCTTTCCTTGCAGGCCATAGTTCTCCAAGTCAAGGAGCACACCTACGTACCACACATTCATTCATTCCATTATCAGAGAAGTTTGGAGCCCCTACTTCGTGCAAAGCCCAAAGACCCCCACCCGCCTGGAGCTCACATGCCGACGAGGCCTCCCCTGTGCTGCCTCAGTGCCTGCCATGGAGCAGACACTCAGTCTGATATGACACGGATGTGCCAAAAGGGGCTTGGTGGCAGGCTGCATGGAGGAGGGGGCCCTGAGGATAAGGCCCTGAAGGCTGAGTAGGAGTTTTCCAAGCCAGAAGACAGAGAGACTGCCCTGCCCTGCCCTCATGGCTGCCCCTCTTTTCTTTCAGAATGCCTGAACTGCACCCGGCTCAGCGACATGAGTGAGCGGCTGACCACGCTGGAAGCCAAGGTCAGACGGACTCAGAAACTCCAGGCCTGGGGAACTGGCTGGCTGAGGGTGGTTGTCAGCCACCTGCTAAGTGTGGCAGGGGAACCCCTATCCCAAGGAGTTCAGGACATCTGAGCAGCCTGGTGTTGCTGAGGCATCGGTGTGATGCTAGGTGGCCTCTGCGGGCTTGGGCCAGGCGCCTCGGGTAGGCATGGGCATGGGGAACGTGAAGGGAACAAGAAACTGGAAGGCCCCAGACAGCAATGTGGTCTAGATGCAAGGTGGGCAGATGGCTCTGAGCTCCCAGAAGTCAGCCCTTCAGTGGAAAGAGAAGCAGAGTGCTGGCCTCTCCCCCCACCCCAGCCCAGGCCGCTGTTCCCAGCTCTGGCTCCTGGGCTGGGGCCAGCACCCCACAGTGTGGCACATGTGTGCTTCCGGCTGAGTACCCTGGAGCCCTGGGAAGGCCTGGGATCTCCCCCCACCGCTGCCAACCAGCTGGCTTGGGCCTGCACACAGTCACTGATGGGAAGACACGGTGGTGTAGTTGCCAAGGAAACCAGCAGCTTCCAGTCCCGTCCACATCCGTGACGGAGAGCATCTGAGGGCAAGGCACCCTAGAGACAGACCCTGGGATGAGGACTCAAGTACAGGAGTTATTTGGGCATGAACCCCAGTGGCACTGGGAGAAGAGAGAAAAAGTAACACCTGGCAGCGGATGTGTGCATCAGAGAAATGCTAATGGCAGGCAGTGGGCATGGGCATCTGGCTCCATCCCCAGTGGGCTTCTGGGGGTGGTATAGAGTGTGCCCCAGAGCTAGTGCCTCGAGGGGTGAGGCAGCTGGGTGATTTATCCCGTCTGCCCGGTGGGTGAAGGCTCTCTCTGAGGGTTCTGCTCTGTTGTTTCTGACCTGCCCTGTGCACACACCAAGTCCACTCCTGTGGCCAGAGAAGGTCCTCAGCAGAGAGTCGCAGGTGCAGTGAGACGCCAATGTTGGCTCAGGGTGGAGGGGACATGTATGATGCACAAAAGCATTTGCACCCTGATGGTCTCGTGCTGGGTGGGGCCAAAGCTCCACCCCCCGCGGAAAACCAGCCCTGTGTGGTTGGCTGGAGGGCTGGCAGAGGACAGGCCTAAGAGGCTGCTGCGGTTGCCTCGAGGTCTCTGTGGAGCCTCTTGGGGTGGGAGGAACTTCTGGGGTCACCTCGCTTCCCGGGCAGAGCCAGGACCAGCTCAGCATCTGAGCTCAAGACAGAATTCTCAGAGCAGAACAGTGGCAGGGGGCGGGTAGGAAGTGGGCCAGTGTGGCCATCTGGCAGCATGCCTGGAGTGAGGACGAAAGCACCAAGGTGGGGGCTGAGGACCCTGACAGCAGGAACCCCTCGGAGCAGGCCTCCGCGATCTGGCTGTGCCCCAGCTCCGAAGAGCCTGACAGGTGTCCCTCTGAGGGTGTGTGGGTATGACACATGGACACACAGACACATGCACACACACACTGATATACATACACACATGGACTCATGGATGCACATACCCCCCCACGTATGCATACATGTGTGTTTACACACAATGTGTATGTCAATGCACACACATGTGCACAAGCACCTGTGTGCATGCACACACATGTGCACACACAACACAACCCTTGCCCACCATACAATGCCCTTGGCCTTGCCCCTGCCTTCAGAGCAGCTCATGTGACTATCGGTCACCTGGAGTCACTTATATGTGGGGCTGCCACCCACAGATGGAGGACTTGGGGAAGCTCTCTCTGAGCCCCCACCCCATCTATAGAATGGAACGGAGGCTGCTGGGAGCCTCAGAGAAGACAGTGGGAGGACTGACTTTGTAAATGGGAAGTTCTGGACAGATGCCATGGGCCACCCCATGCCCTCACCTTCCAGTAGAGAGACAAGTATGTGCAGAAACACTCCTGCAGGGAACCTGCTTTGAGAAGCCTCCAGACATGAACAGCTGCCCTCAGACTCCTGGCCCTTCTGGGTCCCCCTCAACCCAGATCCCTAGGCACAGGCAGCCTGGGGTGACCTCTGGGTCAGCAGCCCTCTGCCGGTAGGAATCAGAGGCTACAGGAAGAAAATACTGCCAGAGGGCAGAGCCAGGGCTAGGGCAGCCTGCGGAGAGGGCACACTGTGGGGAGAGGGTGCAGCCTGGGGCCAGGGGCCAGGGGCCAGGACAGCCCAGGTGGGACTACAGAAGCCACAGAGAACATGGGGTCAGCTCTGGTTAGAGTCTGGGGTCAGAATGGGTGAAGGCAGCAGCCAGACGGGCAGACCACAGACAGGGAGTCAGGAATTAGGCACCTAGAACAAGTCAGTGGCAACCTAGTACCTGGAGATGGAGACTTCTGCTTGCTCAGCTAAGAAACCTGCTGAGGTGTGTCAGGTGGCATGCGCTCACTGCAAGGAACAGAAGAGCCCAGCCGTCAGCCACTTATTTCACAAGGACGTTTATCCTTTGTTCAGCAACAGGTGGCCACAGGGCTGGTGTGGTGGTTCACAAACCCATAACCTTCCCCTTTGCCTCCTTAGTGAGCTGGCCTTTGTCCTCACATCTGGTGCTTCTTGGTTATAAGATGGCTGCTGCAGCTCAAGGCATCACATCTTCACCCCGTGTTCAAAGTAGAAAATCCAAAAAGCAAGCCCACTGCCGTTGAGTTGATCCCAATTCATAGCAGTCCCCACTGGGTTTCCAAGGCAGTAAATCTTTATGGAAGGGGATTGCCCCATCTTCCTTCCGTGGGGCAGCTGGTGGGACTGAACCACCAACCTTCTGGTTAACAGTCAAATGCCTTAGGCACTGCACCACCAGAGCTCCTTATTCAAAGCAGAGGATGGAGCAAAACCCTCAGCAGACTCATTCTGCCTCCTTGGCCACCAGTGGGCATATAACCACCTCCTAGTTGCAAGGCAGGCTGGGAAAGTGAGCACCTGGTTGTTCTGCTCACCTGGTGCTGCTCTAAGAGAAGACACCACAGGTGGAATGGCCTTAACAGATGGAGTTTATTCCCTCACATTTTAGAGACTAGAAGTCCAAATTCAACGTGCCGGGCTCTAGGAGCTGGGTAAAACCCCTTGGCCTTGGGCTTCAGCTCTGTCTCCTGCTCCCGGCCCACTGGGGTTGAGGCTTTTCTTCACTCAGGCAGCTGCTGGCTGCTGAGGCTGACAAGCCCAAGGTCAACAAGTAAAAAGGCACAGTCCTGCTATCACCAAACAACATGGAAGGCCACTCATTCAAGTCCAGAAAAAGTCCCAAGATCAGCAGGGTATGGCAAGCTGCTGACCAACAACTTAGCTACATGCAGGGTCCAAGCATGCCAAAAAGCTGGAGACCTTCCTCAAAGCCGCTTCTTATAAACTGGAAGCAGCCCACGTCCCTAAAGCAGCTACTCAGCTGCTTCAGTAGATTCCCCCACGGAACTGATTGCCAGTCTCACCATGAGGAATAACTACATCCAGCTGCCCAGGCACTCAACCAGGCCCAGCCATATTGACAACAACCTTAACTACTACACTGGTCAAGGAAAAAGGATTTGTTATCATTGGCTCAGGCCAGTGATGGTTCCTCTTCTGGGGCATGCCCACAACTCCACAGCAGGAGTCCCTATTGGCCAGCAGGGCTCTCATTGCCCCTTCTTCTCTGCTCCCTCAGCTTACACTCTGACTTCCTGGCCCATGAGATTGGGAGGGAGCCCAAGGGGATCTCTCCCTGTGTGAGAGTCCCGGCAGCCCCTGGTCCAGGAGGGCAGCAGCCTGGCCAATCATTGGACAGCCCTAGAAGGCTGTGGTCTGGTGCTCTTGGGCTGAGGCCCCATACCCACAGCTGCCCGCCCTGTGAGCTCATGGCTGGGGCTGAGATGGGCTTAGCTGCTCTGGGAGGGTGGCCAGGGCCAGCCCAAGGGGCCTGGACTCTGGCCAGGGCTGGTTCACACTTGGCCGTGGCCAGGGTGCCTCTGCCTGGTCAGTGGGCCTGTGGGCAGTGGTGTCTGTGTGGGAGGTGCCCAAGGGAGAAGCATGCCAGGTCTTCTGGGCTGGAGCAAGGCCTCAGGTGGCAAGTCCCCCCAGGGGCACCGGAGCTCTGCCACAAAAGGCCAGAGCACACCTCCCCGAACCCCTGCCACCCCTGCCTGCCCCCCTGCTGCTTGTTCCCTGGCTTTCACCCACCCCTCCCTGCCCTCCTGCTTCCTCAGCCACCACAGATGGCCTCACCTCAGCTCCAGACCCAAGGGACTACCCCGTGCAAAGATGCCCAGCTGCACTTACCACCTTCACCCCAAAACCTGCCCCCTCCCATGCCCCCTGGCGGCCAGGTAGAAATGGAGGAGCCATGCAGCTTCTGTCTACCCTTCTGCCCCCCACGGTACCAGGTCCTGGTGTTCTCCCTCACCCCTTCCTCGTGCCCTGGGCCAGCCCATTATGCAACAGCCACGGCCACAGTCGCCTCCAGCTCCTCCACTGTCCCGAGCCCCCAACCTTGGCCTTAGCCAGTCAGCTTCCCAGAGGATGCTGGGACTGGTAGATCTCCGTGGTTGGGGCAGGAATCGAAGCCTGTCCTCCTTGTGTGACCCCAGGGGGTTCTGATTCTCTTCCTGGCTGTCCTGTGACTGAGCCCAGCTCCTTCCCTCCTCCCTGAAGCCAGCCAGACTGGCTGTGCTGAGCTGTGGGGTGACAAGGCATTGCACGGGGCCTGGGCCTGCGACCCACTTGCTGGTGGCCTTGGTCAGGTCACTTATAGTCACTGTGCCTGTTTCTCACCACAGGAACCTTTCCTGCCTCAGGGACCAGAAAGGGGAGGAGCTCAGAGAAGTGGCCTTGAGGTTTTCTGGAACACCCCACGAGCAGTAACCCATGTGCCCTGCCCAGCTGGAGACACTGAGGCCTGGGGCAGGGGTCGGGTGGGGGCCATGGGGCCAGGAGGGTAGCTGTGTCCTGCTCCACC